ATTCGTGAAGCAGAATTTAAACTTTGTTAAATACAAGACTGCAATTTTCGGTTTGAGAATAGATCATCATCATTCAACTGAGAAATCTCGAGTTAATACAATTTGCGCTCCAAAATATCTTCAATGATTTCAATTTCACTTGCAAATTGTCCCATAAATAAATAAGCGCTATGTAATTTATGCGACTAAATCCATCAAACGCTATTCTAAATTAAAGCAAATACATCCGAAAATGATGAAAATTCGTTAACATTATAGAGAGTGCATAAGTCCTTTGCAGAGAGACTAGCATAGACCAAATTTTGTGTAGCGACATCAAACTCAGATCTACCACTAATCCACCATTAAAAATTGCTTCGAAAGCATTCGGTCATTTCAATGATTAGCTACCCATATAAGAGAGGTAGGAAGGTTACAAAATAAAAAACATTTTGCAAATATCTCAAATTCACTGAAATGAATCATTTTTCTAGTTAAGAAATCAACAATCAAAAACCGTTGAATTCGCCTAAATGCAATTAAAAACTCAAAAGAATGAGCGTTAAAGTCATGAAAATATTTTCACGAAACAATGACAAGGCCAATAGTTATAAACACATTCTTCATTACTTATTCTTCGCCGAATTGCCAGCATAAACTGGATTCTTAAACGTTGTTGTCGCTTGTTTATAGATCGGATTTTCATTCTGAAATTTATTAATAATTTTCAGAAAAACAAATATAAATATAAATGGAATTCTTGACAGCAACGATTAATAAGGGAAAATCATCAATACTGTTAATTATTCATTAGCAGAAAAATCATTCTTAATCATTCCATATTATGCTTTCCCTACTATGGCCGCGTAAATGTGATTTTCCCTTATTAATCGTTAATACCAAGAATCACCTCCACTGCGCGCACAATGAAAGAAGGAAATATTGACACATTATTGAATATTAGTCACTATCTCTCTCATAATACAACAAAAAATCATCCACAATACCGAATAACTATCCAATTCAGATCCACATCACTTAATCAATTATGAAAAAAAATCAAAAGAAAAGTCAAATAAAATGAACGTACAGTGTCCCATTTGGCCATAAGCCTCTCGTTATCGAACTTTGCGAATTCAGCACGATCGTGCAGAACGGTGAGAAGTTTCCAGACGAGAAGCAATATTAAGCCAAGAATGACGATACCAGCGATCACGCCCAATACTATGGCCAAAATTGGCACAGGCGGAGGGCAATCTGAAAATTTCAATGAATTCTTTCTTCAAGAAGAACAAAAAAGAGTCGCTGAATCAATTATCTATGATCAATCACTCTGAACAACAATTAACCAGAACAATTCTCGCCAAATGTTTTCATAATAACAAAAAACAAAATCAATGCTTACGATGGCTCACGATAATTGTTTTGACTCGCAGTCAGGCTCAATGTCTTA